GTTGTCTTAGGCCGGCCTACCGCCCAATTCGAGCGCGTGGCAAGATGTGATCGCCCGGCGATCGATATTGCTATGCGCACATCTCGCCACGCGCTCGAATTGGGCGGTAGGCCGGCCTAAGACAACGATTTTTAATAATTAATTACTCGTTAACTATTACGAAAATTGCAAAATGGTACAGGACTTTTCCGTTCATCTCGATCCGTTCTACCTTCTCAAAAATTTTGTCGGATATGGAAAGACTCACCCTGTATAGTTAGTTAATGAGAGGATTGCTACAAGCAATGCTTTAACAAACTCTGTACAATCATCCGTCTTGTTAGACAATTATCGGGACTCGCCTCGGAGTGGCTCTCGCTTGGGTAATCGCTCGGCAGTGTGTCCGAATGCTCGATCACCAGATTCGCCTCGCTACCAGAAGTGGACACGGCCGCGTGAAGAAGAGCGTGCGCCCGCGGTATCTTCAGACCCTCGAACATCGTGATGTTGCTCAGGGACGAGCCGGAGAGCTTCGTTATCTCGGAGCCGGTGCCGCTTTCGAACGGATGTCGATGGACCACGCGCACGTTTCGGCGTTTCAGGCACATGTAGGAGCAGCCGAGGCCGAGCAGAAGTAACGAGAGGAACAGGATGGCGCAGATGATCAGCAGAATCTGGAAGCCTTTCAGCGGCGGTTCGGTCACCGACGCGGGCGTCAACGTGGCCATTCTGCGGACGAGAATCAGATTAGAGCGGGATGCACGCGACCCCGGGCGAGGGAAGCAACGTCGACGTTAGATGCTGCTGGTTAGCGGTGCACGGAGGTGACCTATCTCGCACCTATCCGCAGGCATAATCGGACCGCGAGGAACAAAGGCGCGCATTATCGTGGCATGTTCTGGACGGGGAGCGTTAACTCCTTTATTCGGTTCATCCGACGCGGCGAGATGGCGAACGCACGTTGCACGCAGAAATATTGAACGCGGTCTTCATTGATGCGTAAAAGATTAGGTGGTGGAAGGAAAGACTGATGTAACTTGTTTTATTCAATGTCGATGATACACGTCGTGTGAAATTCGATTTTTCGCGTTGGCGATAGTAGTTGTCGATATGTCATGTGGCAATAATAATTGATGGCTTTCTTAGCAGACAGGATATTCTGTTATTTCGAGAATGTCGATCTTAAATGGATTACTTAACAATTATTTTAAGTACATATCTCGCTATTGAGACTCGTTCTTTATCAAATTATATCACTAGCTGCGCTGAAACACAGCGCATGCAAAAGAATTACGTTGAGTACTTTCTAAAAAAGTATCGCCTCTTCGAAAAAGAACCGCGCTTTGATCATAAATTCGATATCGCTTACTACAGCGTCTATTTCAGTAACATTTTATCGTAAAATTTGAATTATTCAATCGACATAAAAATAATTTATGCATAATTTAGTTCATTAAGAATTTCAATGTTCGGTTAAGGGAATATTCTAACAAATATCTTACAATTTTTCTATGAAACTACTTGATAATACACTTTCTCGCGATAACAATTTCAACGAAGGATTCTTACATGCTCTCTGGCGGCTTAGGAGGCGCCGGTGCCACGGGTGGTGGATATCTGCAAACTATAGTGATAACCTCGTCCCCGTCCATTTCTAATCCCGGATGAAAGCGAACGACCACATTATTGGTGAACACGCGTAGAGGATCTTGCTTTGTACCGCATCCTGAAATATAGATCATTTTTATGCGATCAAAAGATAAATTCGTTCCGTAAAAATGAGAGCGCTTTAAACGCAATAACTAAAATATGATTATATTGCAAAACGGATAATCTATAATGTAGAAGTAAAGTAACCGGTCTAAAAACACTTGAAGCGATATCAAATTCAGGTTTCGTCCCGTTTGTTTTAAATGAAAGTTACGTAAAATTATTTTATACGTTTAAATTGGATCGAGGATAACTATATTATTACGTGTTTATGATCTACTGTCTTGTTACTTTTTTAAATTGAGCAATAATAATGCTCGAGACTGATCAATATTTGGCGCGGACAGTTGAGCGCTGCTCTAGCGAGCCGAAGATCTGAGTTCGAATCCAACTGAAAATTTTTATTCGATTGTCACCTCTTGGAAAGAACTGATAACCTGAGAGTGTCTTACAACTAGTCCCACTACACACCCTCAGAAAGGATTTCTGGTACTGAGACAAAACATATTTTTGACGCGTTTATAATTCTCACAACCTCATTTAGTATAAAAATAAGACAATAAAGAAATAAAATCAATAATTCTTATTCTCCTCTAAAATGTAGAGATTGTGACCCTAAGGGGAACTCAATTAAAGATTATTATTATTATTACAACGCTCAAAAATCGGGCAGGTCTGCCTCTGGTGAACAGGTACTCGCCAACACGGCCTGGCAAACGTGTTTTAATATGCGTTTTTATGTGCCAACTCCTCCCAGAAAAAAACCATGCCGATAAGCGTGGAGACTCCTGGAAGAAGCTTAAAGGAGTGGACTGAGATAGAATATTCTATCAATTGGCTGAGAAAGATTAAAGTAAAACTTATGTCATAAATATTTCTGGATAGTCTTTGTAAAACAATGTGAAATAATATATCTAATTAAATAAAGTGAAATCAAAATTTAAAAGTCTCCGTGACACCTTTAGAAAAATTGTTCAATCCGAATATCACGCAAGTGGGTCTGCTCGGAAAGATTATATGAAAAAAATAGTCTTGTTATCTATACTATATCATAGAATTACCGTTTCTTCAAAAAATTTTTTGGAGACTTACTTGCACGATGCTCGGATTGAGTAATTTTTCCAAAGGTGTCACAGAGACTTTGGAATTTTGGTTTCACGTGCAATTATTACATATATTTTTACATCGCTTTTCAGAGACTATTAGGGGAAAAGCGGTATTTTAGAATATTCTATCAATGGCTGAGAAAAACAATACCGTACGCTGCGAGAGTTTAAATTAAATTTAAATTAATACGTACCCTTCAGAGGTAGTTCCAATTTGGCGGTCGTCGCGCCCCGTCCTTTGAATATGCAGGCGCTGTTGCGATCAAAGTCGGCATAGGCCACTCCGTAAAACGGTTCCTCAAACTTAAGCTCGACTTCCATGCTACCCTGCCCGCAATTCAGATAGGCTTTCGTTCGATTCAGAAATATAATCGGCGAGATGTCGTCCAGCTTGGTGACTTTGCCGTCGAGGACCGTGCTCGGCGGCAGTCCCGGCTGATACTCGATGCTGTTGCCTTGCGACGCATAGTTGCTCTGGGACAACGCAATCGGAATTGCCGTCCAGAGCAGGAGTATCAATTTTGGCAGCATCTACAATGAGAGAATATTAAACTGACTTATCAAAAAATTAATTGGCTTGATATAAAAAACTTGAACATACAATGAAGGGGATCATTGTGATAATATAATCAAAGAATAACGATGTGAGAGCGATGAAAGTATCGATAATTAATTACAGATATGGTACATTAGTTAAACGAGAAAGAATGTTACATATTAAAAGATCTAGCGACAAAATTAATGAGCTCGCACTCTTGTTCTTTTACTATAAAATATTCCTTTTCATAAAACACACGCGGTATCACATATGTATCGCAATGTGATATAATACCACGACATACTTCGGGAATAAATGTATGCGGGGAGAATTTTCTTTTCAAATTTACTCTGAAAATCATGTAATCGTGGCATTTTCAAGGACTTTGTGAGTTTGTCGAAATTTTACTAGTAAAATGCATACTAAATACAGTTGCTAATAAAACGTATGATAAAATTTCAAAAAATTCTCATAAAGTCCTTTAAAATCATGCAATCGTGAGACAACAGGACTTTATGAGGGTTTTTGAAATTTTACCATACATTTTATTTGTAAAATTTACTGTAAAATGTAGGGTAAAATTTCCAAAAACTCTTATAAAGTCGAAATGCCACGTTGTCCCACGATTACGTGATTTTCAAGACAAATTTTAAGAGAAAATTCTCTCCGTGTAGAAGTCGTCGCTTCTTAGTGGTCCTTTCATGATTCTGAATAAACAGTCGTAACCCGTAATAATTTCATAACGATTTTATTATAAGACACGGCACCACATCCATTTCGCAATTAGCTTAATTGACGCTATAACGAGTTCTAATAACAAATGCGACATTGCATGTATAATATGTACTATAAAGATCGGTATCACGGTTTTCTCAGGTATCATCTGAGAAGCATGAGGAAACAACTCGACTATCCACATTCCCACGGACGACTTCCAGAACATGAGTTTTCCTTCGTATGTCTCGGCTACGTCATTGTTTAGATTCATCGCTCGATTCACGTGGGACTGTACACACGTAGGCAGTTTGACCACCGTAACGCACGTCTCGTTCTCCATACAAAGGTGTACCGACAGTCGCGCGTTCTTTTCGAACTGCAAATGCAGAAGCAGCATCGAGGCCAGCATCCATTTCTTACTGTTATACCGATATCACTTTTTTTACAGGGTTGGGAAAGTTACTTTATAAATGTATCTAGTTACAGTTACAGGTTTTTCGTTGAGAATGTAACTATAGTTACAGTTACAAGCTGTCAATTCTGATAAGTAACGCGTTACAGTTACTCAAAAAGTAACGAATCGTTACTTTGCAGTTACTTTCTTGGAATAGAAATAAGAATATCAAATCCGCATTTGAATTGTAAAGCGTCAATGAAGGCGTTTATGCGCAAATGCGAAGCCTAATGCGATCTGCGGAGGTTTAAAAAATATATAAAGTAACTATTAAATTAGTTAAAGTTATCAAAGAAAAGTAACTGTAACTTCGTTACAAGTAACGAGTTACTTCCCAACCCTGATTTTTTATTATAAAAACTTTGAGACACGCAAAACGATTCATCTTATATTTCTCTTAGAAATGCCATTTGTCCAGCTCGAATTCCACTTCGTCCCCGTATCATTTTGTTTCGCAGCGCGATTCTGTGGATATTTAACTTCTTAGAAGTCGCGAGAGACGGCGTCTGACCGAATATTCACCAGACGCAGATTAATTAAAAATCCGTGGGAAAAGTTGTGAGCCGAGAAAAGAGAAGAACTAACGTTTTCGGTTCACCCTGTACGGTACCTGGGGACGTCGCCCTTAGTTGGCGACTAGGCTGCAGTTGCACTCAACTGGAGCAAAGAGAAAGCCGTTATCCGTCACGATATCTCCATTCGGGATGCAGCACGGATAGACGCGGATTGTAATCTTCGATGTTTGACGTATCGATATAATCGCATCGAAACACCGGACGATAAAGATAAACGTTCCGCGAGCTACAAGCAAGTGATTGGCGAACGGTAACGCTCGTGTTCTTCTTTCCTCGTGTTCGTCGTTAGAAAACAAAATGCAGATGACATATTACAAGTGTAATGATATACGAAACGATTATATCCGGATGGTCGCCGCCCCTTGAAAGTGCTCACCTCGAGATACTGTTACGCTCGCTGTTACGCCGCCGGTAATTGCACTAAGCAAACGCACAAATTATAGGGATTACTGCACGCGTACAGAAATGTGTATCGCGCGCCTTCGCGTTGCAAACGCCCGTATCCGCGCGGCGCGGACGCGCGTCGTGAAAACGCCAGACGACGATACTCCCGGTGATAATAGATTCCCGCGTGAATCATTTCACTGGCCCCCGTCGCCGTCGCCCGCGGAATTCGCGATTCCGCGCGCGCCGGGCATTACCGTTCGGCCGCAAAACTGGAATTATAACGCCGCACGTTGCTCGCTGCCGTTTAGCTGCGCGTGAGAAACTCGCGTTTAACTCGTGCCGCACCGCCTCACATGCTCGCCACGTCGAGCGCGAGAAAATGTTGAAAAATAATCGTCGAAACTGTACTTCCGCCCAAAATCCGCACCGACAGCCTCATCTCGGTGTCACTGTGCCGCCGTTATTCAAAAACAAAGAAAATGAGATCAAGATCTCGGACAGTTAAACGGGCAAGAATTGACGCGCGGTGCACAGACGTTGAAAATAAAAAGTGAAATATATGCAAATAATTTAATAATGTATTCTAAACATTAATTAATAAAAATACTAATACGTAGATGTTAAATTAACAATTATGCTTTCACCTAAACGATAAAGAATATCGCATAGAATACGCAAGTTGCGTATCGAAGTTTCTAACTGGCGTCGGAGTTTACACACGTGCCGAAACTGTCACCTGTTATTGATCTTTATATTGGCTTTTTTGCTCGCTGATAATTTTGTCTTTTGATATCTTATGTATAACAAGATATTACATACATAATAATTAGCTGATATTAATGAGATTATTAATAGCAAATTTTGAACTCTTTTACTTGCAAATTATTTAATACTTTCTGTAATAAAAATTTTAATGACGGGGAGTAATTATTCCACTTCAAAATAATTATTGAACGTATCTGCGGTTAAATTTAAATATAAGCTTATTAAAGAAAACAATTTTTAGTTGTCAAATTTGTTTTCGTTTTATGCAGAAATTAGATTGTAATTTATTATTATTACCTTTTTGTCAAACTTTTACGTCAGGAGATGTAATGAAAATGCGTGACTTTAATAAGCCGGGAAAACAAATGCGTCGCCACATTCTCCACGGCGACGTTATTTCATTCTCTCGGTTTATTAAAAAATTGAAACAAATTTTTAACTTATTAACGTCTCGCAATATCACTCGTTGAAATTTCGCAGGAGTAATTTCGCGTAATAATTCACGCGATACTTTATAAAGTATATAATAATTCAACGTAAAGAATTTTACGATCACATTGAAGCGGGCTCTTTAAATAGACGCGTTTAAATTTAATACGCGACGGCCCGTGCGCCGGAATTAATTTGCGATGCGAGGAATAGAAAATTTATTCGACACTCATATCGGAACGTTAAATATTTTGAAGTTAACGGATTGCCTGGCGCACGTCCTTCGCGCCGCACGACTTGTTTACACGCGATTACCTTGTGTCATTCGCGCGGCGTCACTCGAGCCGGCAGGCAGCGATGCGATCCGCTCCGCGCGTCGTCGCGTTATTATCTCTCGAAGCGCGATTATTCTTTCCTAAATAACTACAACGTCAAATTCGCAACAATAATCTCGCGCGATTAATTAATACGTCTGACAACTGTGCCGACAACGCGGTTATTTAAGCAAACATCTCACGCGATTTACTCATTTAAAATAGAAACCGGAGCAACGGGAAAATTATAAATTGATTTATTTGTGAAACTTACGGGTGACGAATGTTTCTTCAAGAACGTACTCTCGGGTATAACTCGCGCTTTATTGAACACCTCACCGATCTAATTTGCCTATTCCCTTATCCGATTAGCGGGAAGCCACGTCGCATCGATTGTCGACGATTAATCTGATAAAGAATAGAATATTTGGTAGTAATTATTTCGAATCTATGAATATTTTGTCTTTAACTTAAGTCGTATACAATAGACTTTCACAACTTAAGTTTTCCTCTGCCTTGTCTTACGTCTACGACTAATTGTAAGATGGACTTAAACGTTTACGGATCGTTTTCTGCCATCAGCCTTACTTGCGAAATGAAACGGGCCGACGCGACGTCGAGTCAAGTGACAGCGCGACGCGTTTGATTAGTAAATGCTCTATCGCAATTAACTCCGGCGTTTTAACATTTACCAATCGCGTGGCATAAATTCGGCGTTACATTGTTTATTGAAGCTCTCGTACGTTCGTCGCGGTTTCGTCGCTACGACGTATTTAACCGGCTGTTCATTTGGGGAACGAATTGTCAGGCAAATCGTAGCTTGATATTATCGTACCTTTGCTATGTCATTTTTCGCGATGTAATAGAGTTGCATGTTTATTGACACCGCGGATGCCATGCAAAGTATTGTGCGACTATCTCGGGACGATCGTTATTAATCCCTTTTGTGTTTTCGCGAGTGAGTGTTGTGTGAGTGACTCGAAATAATAACGAAGACACGAAGAATCAAGAGAGGAGGAGGAGGAGGAGGAGCAGGAGGAAGCATCGGGCAACGGCGGAGCAACCAACAGGGTGAGTGACTCATTATTTATTATTTCATTTGTCACTCTCGGAATTAATCACTTTATACGCGCGGCACAATTATTTCTCGAAACATTGCTTATTTACGGAGCTGTATTTTAATTTACAATTAGAACGTATCTATTTAGTCGTTACAGGTCAGCGTTACGGCTCGCGCATCGTATCGGCTGGCGACGAAATTTATTCCTTTGATTCGAGCTGACAAACTTGGAAAAAAGGCTCCCTTTCACCTGATTTTCAAAATACGCCATTAAAGTGTCGTACGACGGTTG